TGGGGCTTCACTCGCTATCCCACAGTCGAGGTAAAGTGATATGTCCGGACAGATAATCGTTCTTTCTATAACTTATATTTGGACTGTATATTTGAATTGCCGATTAGAGGTATCTGTTCCGCTTTGTTGCTACTTATTAACTTTTGGCCAGGGATGTCAACGACCACCAAAAGGTTTACTTTAACGTAGCAAATATTGCAATGAACCCGGTTAACGTAGAGAGCCAGTTTGTTTACAACGTGAACAGTTGATCGACCCTCGCATCCATTCACAATTACCAACTGCATTGCAGTTGCTGAAGCTTACGTAAGCTTATCATGATTAAATGAAAAAAAGTCGAAAAACTGAAAGCGAGCTGAGCGCTTGGGGGCATTTGCGAAACGTGAACTCCGACGGTGCGCTCAGCACAGGCACGGTAATAATTTTGAAATAAACTGACTTCTACGCAATTCCCTGACAAAAAAAAAAAACAAAAAAAACAAAAAAAACTTACCAATGGTCCAGATTGAACAGAAAAATGTAACTCCCAAATGTAAAGCGACTTTCATGCTGACGTTTTGGCTTTCAAAGGTATAAAATATACTACAGAGGCTTTATACTTCGATCGACACACCTCTGTTGACTTTTATTTGGACTCTGCTTGGAACACAGACGAAGCTACGGGGAGGGGTGGGGTTATAATGAGTTTGTTGTTGTTTATGTATCTTTTGTGGGAAAATTGTTTCTAAATAATGCACTAATATACATTTGAAGAACCTGCGCGCACGCAGATCACCAACAAATGAAGCATATAATTGCATGTTTTAAAAATTTTCTGATAAGTACCGAGCTAAAATCACGCCTTCCCCGCTAAGTATGAAGTTGTGCGAGCAATCTTGTTCCCAGGGTCCTATAGATCTCTTTCTTGAGGTGGAGAGAGTTCCAGGGGATTGAGGTTGTGGGAAGTTACCGAGGTGACGTCAAAACCCCACATCCAGTTTGTCACGCTATTTGTGGGTGAAATCGTTTTGATACCTGTGTTTCATTCTCCTTTTTCTCTAAAACCCTTGATCCTTTGGTCGCCAAAAATGGCAACACGCAAGTTTACAACACAAACTTTGGATTTTTGATAGTTAAGCTGACACGTGTACTGTTGCCTTGGCAACATTAATTAATTTAACTGTTTTGAAGAGTCCACTAAGTGCTGCTACATCCAGGGGCTTTTAATTCACAAAAAAATAACTCATGTATTGGCACGCTTGCATACTAACCCACTAAATTAAAAACAAAATTGGAAATCTGGCGTCCCTGTGTTAATTTCTCTTATGCGTAAAAGTAACACAAACTTCATCCTCGGAGACCCGGGGCAGTTAGTGGGGGCAGGGAAAAGTCTAAACGGGCGAGAAAACAAATTTGGGCGAAGAAAAGCGTTGATAATTCATGTGAACCCATTGCCAGCCCCTCCTTGCACCCCATCTTTCCAGGACGCATTGGAGAAACGTAGTTTATGCAATTCTAACAATCACAAAATACCATGCAGATAACTGAGGCAGTACCACTTATATTTCCATTTTTTTTTCATTGACCTTTCAGCTGCAACATTTTATGAATTTCTGAACAAAGACTCTTAGGTATATTATTGGTCATGTAAAATTATGATTTACGACTATCTCAATTATGAAAGACCAAATTACTTTTCTGATTTTAAATCATTTCTTCAACACTCTGCTTGTCAAAATCACTGAAGTATAATTATTTAACATCATCTTGATAGGGAAAAACTGCATTCAAATCTTATTTCAACACACAGCGACACTAATATATACAACTACAAAACTAGTTTTGTTTATGACCTCTTGATTTGGTCCCCATGACAGATTTTAATCCAAGATGACCTCATGTAACCATGCATGAAATACAACCCTTGATACCACATGCTACACTAATAATTTTCATTTTTATTTGTACTTATTTATTTATTTGCTAATGTTTATTTCTATCTTATCATTATTGTTCTTTATCTGGTTATATTATTGTTAGTTGTTATTATTCTGTATCAAGTTATATTTTTCGTGCATGGTTACATGAAGTCATCCCAAATTCATATCTTTACAGGCAACCAACTGAAGAAGTCACAGACAAACAAGTCTTGAAGTCGCACATACTGTATAACTATGTATCGAGGGAAAATTCAAACAAAGCTTTTCCCAAATCAAGATGCTGTTCAGTAATCACACTTCCTTGCTTTAACAAGTAGAACTTTGTGAAGGAGACTATTGTGCATGGTTTATATGCTCCCACAACAATGCAATGCTTGGTTTAAGTGAGTGGCAAAAGCAACCATACAGGAGTGAAGCCATATTTTCCTATGTTTTCTTCATTAATGACTATGGCAGGGCTTGAAAAAAGTGCTGTCCAGTTGTCCAGGACAAGTAGATTAATTGCGACCGGGCAAGTTACTTTTCATTCTCACTTGCCCAATGGGCAAGTGCCCAAGACTTGCTCTTCAAACTGTTAATTCTCCTTTACTGTCCTTCATTTCTCTTGACATCAGAGTTCTGAGAATTTGTTGCTACATCAGGACAATATCTTCCAGTTGATGATTGCTGTAATTCTCATCACTGGCCTGATTGATAAGAGACTGGCACTGTAAGGGGAAACCAGTAGTTGATCGCTTGGCCATCTAAGTCACATTTGTCCACCTGTACAAATGTAACATACTCAACAACCATTTTTGAAAAAAAAAGTACTTGTTCTTTCCATTAGTGATCTCCATTGCTTTCAATTTTATAGCAGTTTGGAAGTGATTAAGTTTACTGCATTTAGTGTTGGTGAGTTAGGAAACAAATCACTAAAGGCTTTGCCGTCTTCTAAGGATTGCATTTTGCTGGGATCCAGTGGAATAGAACCTACAAAGAAGGAAAAAATTATTCATTCAAGATTTGAAAGTGAGATGTAGCTAGAAGACTCTCCTCAAATTGAACACATCAAATCAGTGAGAATTTTCTGCGATAACTTGCAATGACCCCTAGACTAGACTAGATCACAAACAATCTGTTCTGCTATGTGAAAAGCTTGACACAACAAAGAATTTGGCTGACATTCCTTAAGCTTCCAGCAAACGAGACCTTTGCATTTCCAGACAATGTGCAGTACCAGAAAATATCATGGATACTCCTCCCACAGAGGGGATTGGAATTTCCTGGGGGTGGGGGGTTCTTTAGGACCAAAAAATTTAAAGAAATGTATCAAGTTGAATTGGAATTTCCAGAGGGGTGGGGGGAGGAGGTCTTGGAAAAAATCCCTTCCGTGTGGAAGGTATGGATATTTTCTGGAACTAAACAATATACTCAGCTGATTTTTTTTATATATATTAAGATACTTACAAGTGCAATAAATGGTGAAAAGACCATTTTCCACCAGACATGATCTAGATTGCCCCTCACCCCTCTATCCCCTTCTTGTGTAGTCACCAATGTTAATAAGTGTTTTTACCTAAAAATGGAACATTGCAGCTCTTTGCCAAGGCTTCACCTCCTCCCTTTGAAAACACATTTGTGCATTCCTAAAATAAAGAAAGTGGAATATTATTTCACACTGAAGATTAAGGTACACTATAACAGTCAAAAATAAAACAAGTCATAGTGGATTAAATATATTTTTTTCAATGACATATAAAGAAATAGCCTCCTCCACACATGCATTTTGCATGGACTTGCATCTGTATAGGAGGCTAACACTTACTCTACAATGAGGACTGGCAAATCCACTCATGTTCTCCACCTCGCCCAGGATTGAGATTTTAGTTTTCTTGCAGAACATTAGTTATCATCTGACTTCAGACACTGCCACACACCCTGAGGAACAACAGGAATGTTATTCAAAAAGTCATCAAAATGCTAAGTATTACATAGATGATAGTTCATTCTGGTAAATTATTGGTTAAACTGTTTCTGTTATTAAGCAATTGAAGATGGAGAATTATCCCATGCTGCAGGAACAACCACTGGATATTTTTCTTTAAGAATAAAGGAAGAAAAATGAGGGTTAAAGACCAATTTCGCTAATCACAATTGACTGACACTAAACTAATCTTAAGGTTTTGGCCAAAAAATGATCAGAGCTGATTCTACGGGTCTGAACTGATTGACTATTAAAAGGCTAAATGCCTATAAGTGAAAGGTTGGCCTTTCTTCAATGCTGTTACGGCTCAAATTAAGCAAACATAAACTTTCCAAAATCCAAATAAGTCATTAATAATTGACAGCAATATAGAAAGGTTATATACTTAATAAATACTTTATGCATACCGGAGGAGTAGTGACAGGAATTTTACTTGCTCCATGGATTGTAATGTCCAGATTTTCTACTACAGAACTGTAATGTGCTCATCAGATGTCCCTGGATTGAATGAAACCAATCTTAGAACAGATCAATAATGATTGGATTACACTGCATACTGCAAAATGAGTGTGCACTATTGTACTTTCAGCAAAGCTAACAATAAAGAGTATATCTTCTCCGATTAAGGGAGGTCAACTCCAATTTCCTAGTATGGAGTGTTGTTACCTCTCCCTTAATCTCCTTAATAGGGAGCTAACCTATTGCTGGATACCCCCTAGTTAATCCCTGTATTTTTGCAGTTCAGGTTGCCAAACAACTTGTTAGTACTCAATTTTCCTCCTATGTGATGAGAGGCATCGCAAGTCAAGTCTCTCACCTAAGTTCAAACGCAGTACAAAGACCCATGAACAGGCCTGGAATCCAGACCAGTCCTATTGATCTAGAGCATATGACATTAACCACTGGGCCACTGTATCTCACACATCAGTACATCACAAGCCTCTGAAAATTACATCACTTAAATCTTTTATATTGTCATCATACCTGGA